AACATGAAGCGGTATATCACGCGGGGGACTGTTTCATCCTAAGCATTCCGCCGGATTCGACGAATCGCGACGAAGGGTTACGAATCTGCAAATCCTTGACCCGCTCGGAATACAAACTCAAGAGAGTTTCAGGCATTGAATCCTCAGAATTAGAGACGCTCGTCAAAAACCGGTACAATGCAGCGCTTCAGGGCTTGAGGGGTTAGGTTCATCTCACTCTCTCCGAATCGCTTCACACCCTTCCCGGGAAATTCAACAAAGAATGCTCCGAGCTGTGCGAGCGAATTTTCTGTCGATTGCGCCGAGGATGGAGCGGGGCGAAGGACCTCCACGAACGGAAGAGCCAACTCGGAGCGCACACAATGTATTGTTACTTCGGAAATGCTCCGTCTTGCTCTCGAGCGCAGTGAGTATTTTATCACTCGAGCGATATGTCAACGCGCGGAGGGAACGGTCCCGGTGCCAACAACAGTTATACGCAACAACAGCGATCCTCGGAGAGGGGGCGGTCGTTCAACGCTTATCAATTTAATGTATTTTCGCAGCGCCTGGTTTTCGCCGGCTCCCCCGTTCGATCGTCTGCGTCGACCGTCGTAAGCAGGTCTCTTCATACCGGTGTGAGTTTATCTGCTGTTTGATTGGCCAAACAACACCGTCAAGATGATCGCAGTATTTCATGAGCAAGGAGCAACAAGGCGCGTCTTATCTCTTATCGTCCTGCTGTGAGACGTGCTTTCAGGAGAGGGTGGAGTCAGTGAACAAGAGCCTCGTGCGGCTTAACAATCGTGGACTCATTCCTCGGAAGCGATCAAGAATCCTCACAGTCGACGACCACGGCGCTGACGTCGCCGGGTAAATACGCAAACCGCCGCATCGAGGACAGGAAAACAAGCGAAACCACGATCCGAAAGTCCTCGGGAGGTCGGCGGCACGGGGCCACTCGCTGCGACCGTCGACGTAAACGATCTATGGTCAACGTCGCCCCCTCCAGTCTCATGACACTTAGTGTGGCACTCGTTAGAATTAATCACTTTAATCACTTTGATAATCACTGGAGATCTGGGTACACCCTAAGTGACCTGGTTCGGGCGGCTGGACGCGCGGAGCTCTTTCGTCCGTAACGGCGGTCGTCGCCGTCGCGGCGATCGCACGCATCCGTTATAGCCGTTGCAGTGACCGCCGGAACTGTGAGTGAGTTGTGTGACCGCAACCCGGCAACGCTTCTGTTCCTACGCAGAAATGCGTCGACCGAATCTGTCCGCGACAGAGTTCGCCATCCTTGTTGGGGCCATCTGGCGCTTGGTGATTTCATTTCCTCGTGTCATGGCGTATAAGCGTAATAATACGTACCTAGCGTAATTGCCACCCCCTTCCAATGAGAACGCGTCGCGCACTCTCCCCCTGCCTCAGATGCTTTCTCTTCTCTCTTCACTCGAGCTCGCGCCGCATCTTGCGCTCGTTTTTTCCTTGTGGCCTATGACCGGCCAACATCGTAAGGACCGTCTGGGACGAAGTAGCGCAGTCCGGCCTTGCTGGACCTTGCCTTGAAGGACGCAGTTGGTCGCAGCTAGCTCTCGAGTTCGCCGAATACGAGATCTCTCTTTTTGGCCTGGTCTTGCACTTTTCTCGGTTGCTAGCCAGAGCACATAAGTGGCGACGGGGATACTTGGACGTTCATCGTTGAAGCCTCCACCGCGGGCGGCAAAAAAATGAGGGAGAGGAGAAGAGCACTCGAGCTTCTAGGTTCTAATATTTACGCCCGCCTCGACACACCCATGCCTCTGTTGATCCGGCTGTTATTACAGTTTTTTCCATTCCGAAACCGTGGCGTTTTTGAGAAGATTCCTCCCCGAAAATGATTCGCTACTGCCTGGATGCTGCGGGTTTTTCGTGGAAGCGTGTTCGGGGAAACTCGTCTCGTTTCCTCGGAAGCCAGATTTCGGGAGTTCATCGAAGCCAACCCCAATATAATCGTCGTGGACTGAGCCCGAATCGAGTGTTGGGCCAAAAAACTCACTCGTTCGTCATGGCTGCCGAAAGGCTGAGGATTCCGCCAGGAAGAGGAATCGGCTACTCCAGAGCGAAGAGGAGTTCAAAATTGCACCCACGTCGGTTGGCTCTGAGCGGTGGAATGTTTGCTTTGACTCTTCGTTGAGTTCGAGTTGAGTTGTATCGTTAACTCGATCTTTTGTACGAACTCGCATACCTATGCTGGCGGCAGCGGCGCTTTCCTCTCTCTGTCAGCAACTGTTGGAGCCCAAGGCAATGATCCATTGTTTGGAACTTTCGACTACGCGTGCCTCTTGCAAGTGCATTCTCCGCTGGTCGATGAGCCGAGCAGACCGCGCCGGCTGAAGAGTCGGCTTCCGCCGTAAGAATGGGGCGGACAGAGCTCAACGATGAAGGAATCCCTCCTCATTCCATTATGAGGGTAAGGATGAGCTCCCTGGATCCGAGGCAAAAAATTGTTGCGATACGAAATTCCGAGCCCGTGAGTGTACACCCATAGATAGATCCCTGCATGTCGCCAGGTATTCTTGAGGTCTCCGGCGGGTCGGAGCAACCAGTGGAGCGGAGCGCCATCCAATCGACCGGTCGTTTTTATTCTCACCGAATGAGTCGTGATAAGTGATCGTCTAGATCTCGGAGTGATTGAGCATATCTCTGAAGGCTGGATTGATTACGACTACTTCTGTGAGCTTCCATCAGGAGGGAAAAAGTTTTCGCACTGTTGCTGCCGCTAGGAATGTATGCAGCTCGGAAGTGTTTCCGTTGTTGCAATTTTTCCTTGGCCGTCTTCCTTCCTCGCCGTCCCCATCTCCGTTTCCTGCTTCCCTCGCGCTTGTATCGGCTTGACGAAGCACCTCGATCATCCATTACGGACGAGGTTGCCCGGCTGGCTGGCTGACTTGCGTCGTTCGCTCCGTTGTCCCGGTTCGGTCGTTGCTACGCTGGCTGTTCCATTCTTCTCATGACCCCGACTCGTTGTTCTTCATCGTTACGGCAGACTCCGATCTGCAGCGGGGCGGCAAGCGTACTGAAGGCGTGACGAAACTCCTTCGTGGACTGATGACGGTCTCGTTTACGGTGGCGGCGCGGCGTACTCAAACGGATAGGACGACATCCTCCGACAGATTCTCGGCTGCGTACGGGAAACAGCCGTCGCGAGAAATCAACCGAGAGGAACAAGACGTGGCCCCGGATTCCGGCGCGGCAACAATGAGTTTGGGCATTCTATTCCGGTGGAGGTGACGGTGCACATTTCGGTAGGTCGCGGCTGATAATAATTCGTTATTCGGCCCTCGCTGTCCGTCCCGAACAAAACGATGAGTGAGGAGCTGCCACCGGCCGAGGGGGGAAGCGGAAAGGCCAAGTCAGGGCAGAGGGATCTTTTGGAGCATGAGGGCGACGACAAGCGATGACAGCAGCGACAACTACTTGGAAGGCCCACGCACATACGAACTCGTTTCTGCACCCTTGCTCAGAAGTTTCGTTAGGCTAATTTTCGGCGAGTGACGCATCGTTGCATTGCTCGAGCTCGCCAACGGTCAGACGACCGACCGCTGGCGCCTAAATCATGTTCGCGTTGTGGACTTCATCAACGAACGCTTTGACCGCGCCTTCGTTCGTGCCGACCACCCAAGGGTCAGTTGACCCCCCTGGCGACAGAATACGGTTTGGAGACGCGGTGTCTGGTGTAAAAAGGACTATGACGACAACGACGACGACCAGGATGATGACGACGACGTCGTCGACCACTGAAAACTCCGGCGGGCGTAGGTCCATTTGTTTTTCTTCAGTCCACCGCTTGGCCTCTGTTGTGCAACGCCCTGAACGAGTCGCGTGACCCACAAACCTTGCAGGGACCGCCATTGTCGTGGCGGTTGAAGCGGAGGTCCATGCAGCCGCCGCCGCTGCCATCGGCGCTTTTGCTACTCCCGCGGAGGCGGCGGCGGCATGGCAGAGGCAACTTCGCAGTGGCGTCCTGGCAGCGGCCGTCATCGTGATCCTCAGGTCGAGGGTGGGGCGCCGCCGTTGTGCTCCGTAATGAATCAATGGAAGATGCTGATGGCGTGCCAACATTCAGCGCCTCCCTACTCTGTGGTCGTGTCGGTGGGTCGGTCCGTTGGGCGAGCGTCAGGGCGAGCGGGCGGCCACAAACAGACTACCAGGAAATGCTTTTTCCATGAGGCCAATGAACAAACACGTTCGTGCAAGCGACACTCGCAACATATGTCGGCGTCGTCAAACGACTTCTTTTGCCGCATGCATTCGCTGGGGAGCGGACCGCACGGTGCGCTCACCGCGACAGATTGACCTTAGATCCAATAATGAGTTCATGCTTCCGCTTCGACTGCTAATAGATTCGATATGGTTATGGCGTCTGCCGTGTAGCCACGGGAAAACGGCGAAACAAAACGTAGCCGGAGCCCATGGGCAGGACAATGTCACGGCTCCTAACTCCTGGGGTCTCTCCTACGATGGAGCAAATATGATATACGATTTTCTCCGCTCGTGATAGGTCCTCCTCATCGATGCGAAGACCTTCAATCGCTGCTCCGAGCGACGTCGGATTCGGGTGTTTCCAATCTCTTTCCCCACGCGTTCCGAAATCCGAACGCCAGCATTCGCATCTCGATCCCAGGGTTCTTATGTCATCCCCACCATGTGGGCAATTCTAATGAACTATAGGCGACATTTCCAGGTCGGGTAGGACGAATCGATACCGCCGAGGCTCTTACGGTGACTTCTACTGTTGTCAACTAGCTATCATCTGTCATCGAGCAGCTAACGCTAACACACTTGAGGGCTAAAAATACGTCGAGCACGCTACATTACTATTTCTCTTTGACCTTTGGAGCTACAATTAGTTGGAACGTTATAACAAAAACTTCAGTCGGGCACGTCCCACGTGCCCGTGAAATGATCGGAGACAGTAAGCGGGATCAGTTGAAATGATTCGATGCTAATGGATTGAAGACAGCGATTCTGGTGGGTTCGCCTTATATGTTTCTTCCTTTTATTGTATAGATTCCTCAGATTTACTCTGTACAGTGCCCGTTTTTCGTTTATCTATTGCGTTGACGACAAAAGTCTAGTCGATCTATACAATAAAAACGTGAGATCTTCTCATACTAATTTTCAGCGGTAAATTCATTACCCGATCATCCTCAACCGACCAGTGTTGTCGGATGTGATGACACGACGTGTCGAGGTCCTCTATGTACACGACGATATTATCGAAATAGATATAATTATCTTTGTTCTCGTAGTTTCTGAAGAGGGTACCCGCTTTCGATGAACGAACTAAGCTTACTTCGGAATAATGTACAACCACGATAATATTCCTCGACTCCTCTGCGTGGGAATATGAGAGAATGAAATAGGGTCGGGGAACCGAACAATGAACGAAACCGTAATGTAGAACAAATGTAGTGTTCCGTTCTCCCGAAAACATCAGTGTACACACGTACAATAAAATTGAACAGAAAAAATCAAAAACTTCCCTCTCCCCTCTATTCCTCCTCTCGGGGGCGACTAGTCGCAGAGGCGTTCGAACCTCTGAAGAAAACAAATCTAGCTTCTTTGGACACGAATCCCAAAACTATACCAGCAGTGTTCTCACAACGAAACCACTCTTTGCGTGCGCGTAGAAGCACCCAAGATTCCGACGCCGCGCCGGGCTGCTCGCGAGTTTTCACCACGCGACCCGCTAATACAACGGTGTTGACTCGCTTTGTTAGTTCTTGTCTTACGTCGTTACGATATTTACACTGTTTTTGGTTCTCGCGATGAGCGATCCAGACTGGTCCTAGCCCTCTTCTCGTTGGAACCTACCAGACCAGGGGATCGTTCGAAGCAATGGATTGAAGCTCAAGTGGTCTGCACTCTGAACCGAAATCCACAGATAAGACTACCATAGAAATTCCCACGCTTCCATCTCAGTACACGACGGAGCTGTTTGGATTTTCATTAAATTGGCCGCTTTGGCACGCTCACAGCCTCTCTCCATTCGTTGGGCGTCGTTCTTCCATCTGGAGAAAGTAAAGAAGCTACAATATCTCAAGCCCGCGGCTAGAATCGCAGAATCGGCGTCGACGAGGAATCGCGTCTTCACTTCCAGGGAACTCTTCCGTCGGTAGACTCTCCGCTATCTGATCCCGGGAAACTCAACCGAACCCGTTCACGATGTCCGGATCCACGTAGATCGATGACATTGGCAGCGCCGGTTGCATTCTGGGCTATAGATAAATCTTCTTTACCTGGAAGTAGAAGGACGACCTTTCGTTGGTGCCTGAGCTGTTAGCGAACGCTCCGAGGATCAGAAAAACAAATCGGAGAAATAAGGCGCCGCTTCGAGCTCCGTGGAATCTTCACCTTCTGCATAGTGGATTTCGATTCTTGTAGCGAGGACATGTTGCTCAACTGTATGGAACTCGGATGAGAGAGATTATGTGTGGGTTCGCCGCTCTTGTTCAGTACCAAATTCATCGGCCGTGTTCCCACGTTAGGCGGCAGGGCGTAATTGGACTTGTAGGTAGTCGGCGTGCTGTAATCCCCCGCGATATCGGAGGTCATTCTGCTGACGTCAACATATCTGCGATGGAAAACAATTTTCCTCTCATAATGCTGATAAGTCTGTGTTTCGCAAGCATCTTCCTCCTGTCATTATCGGTCTGACGCTGCTCAGCAAGTTCTCTCAAGGTGTACGAACCTCCTGTAGTCGTCGATCGGTCCAGTATCACATTCGATTTCACTCCTGTATCTTTTGGCGAAAATATACCCACTCATAAAACCTACGACTAGAGAGGTCACGATAGAGGTCGTGACGGCAATGGCCAACGTCTCCGGGGTGTATAAGTGCGACGTCGAGAAATAGGTGTCGCTTCTATCATCCTCGAAATTATTCTGTTCGTCCTCTCGGAAGACCTCCTCTCCCACGATTGGGTTGAAATTGGGTTGGGCTGCAAATATCGGAAATGAAAAAACTCCAGTGAGCGAACCTCTGGGCAAAATACGAGGCAGAGGAAGGGACGACGTGCAGCGTGCCCTGACACCTTAGAAGCTCGAGACATCTCAACACAAGGACGGGGATAAGCTTTCATGTCATTCAGGTAAATCGGAAGGAGTACATATGAATATGCAACCTGAAGAAGCAAGCGAGGCGTTTCCATCCTTCTTGCGCGTAGCTACTGCCGCGACGGCAGCGCCACCATCACCTGGTGTTTGCGATTGTAGCTGAACAAAATCCGAGACGTAATTTTCGCCAATCTCCTTCAGAGCTTCCACTGGTGAAAATGTACGTAGATAGCGAATCATGCGGAACAATTCATTTTCTGCACTTGCACCAGAATGATTCGAAACGAGGCAACTGAACGCACACCGAAACTCGCTGACCTTTCACGATACCCTCACAACAGCAACATGTGAACACAGACTTTCCAATTCAATCAAAACTCGATCACATGCATTGGAATCCTGTTAGAGTTCTCAGCGTGGGAACTCGATTCAACTTACCGCTGACCCCGCATTTTTCGTGGAAGCCTTCCTCGATGTTTTGAACCATCGACTTCGGATCTCGGCGCCATTTCTCCGTGCAGCGACGCTCGTTGAGAGACCACGCGCAGTAGGGATCCCGCAATCGAACGCAGTCGACGCATGTTTTCGCCAGATCGCAGTGGAACAAAGGCACGGCCCGGATTTCTGATTGACTCGCGACGATTATTTTGTCTTCGTACGCCGAACGCTGCACAATAATGTTCCTAACAGGAACTGCGGTAGGAACGTCCTTGGTTGCAGCGAAAACTTTCACATCTTCTACCACCGCCGGTCCTTGGTGCTCCGCACGAAGTGAGGCGACGTTGACAACTTTCACCACGTGGCCGTGGTCGGTGCCAATAAACAGCACATCGTACATTTTTCCGTTGACGCCCTCCACTTGGCCGTCGACGGCGACGCATGTGTACCGATAATTGAATCCCGTGTGGACGACTATTGGACGACCGAAGTACGCAGGAACTGCTAGGTCCATGAGTGGATGCTCTTTGATGAACGTAAGAGTAGCCTGTGGAAGGGATTTGCTGTTGTTTACGCATTGGCCCGGCCTCGGCTCAGGTACCCTTGAGTTGATGACGGGCAGCCAGTTGGAGTTTTTGTTCTCCTGCTCTTTGAAAGGCCCGTTGAATACTTCGCTGATGTCTTCGACTCGGAACGCGCAAACAGCCGATCCGAATATCGAGTTGAGCCCGGTGTTGAGAACCGAGTAGATGAGTCGGGCCCTGTCTCCGTTGTAGGAGCCGTCAACGATCGAACTCGTGGATTGGAGTTCGTTGAAGTAGAACGGAATATCGCCGGGGATCGAACAGTTGAGTCGAGCTTTCAGGAAAGAGGTGAATTTTTTGTTCCTGTCAGAGATGCCTTCGTCGTTCGTGCACACGCGTGCAACTCGAGAGTAAATGGCTTTTCCACAATTGAGGTACTCGATCGCTGTTTCGCGGAAGAAAAAATAGACATGCGAACCGATATGCATCGACGAAACGAATTGTGGAGCTGTAAGAAGAACGTGTATCGAAGTGAGTTCGTCTTGATTGTGCCTTCTCGCTATCGAGTCGCACATTCCATTTCGTTCCCATCTCTGTTCCCCCGATAATCCTCTAGTTCACGATGCTTGATTATTTTTAGTATATGGTACTGGTACTGACCATTCAATATTCTCAGATCGTTCTGTTCAGTGCGCAACGGATCTCTGTAGATCATGGGATCCGCTCCGGAGGACTGACCCGCCGTCGCGACGTAAAGATTCCTTTCTGGAAATTGAATATCCGCTTCAGATCGCGTATATCGAACAATGATGAACGACCGAATATAAAGCGGAGGAAACTTCTCGAGCACTTAGATGCCCTTGTTGCCTGAAACTTGAGATGTTTTCTCGCGGATAGTGATGGAACAGCCTCGGAACGAGAATCCGATGTGTTCGAAAACTTGGATGTACCATACAGAAAACTTTTGGTATCTGGAAACCTCTCCATAATCCGTGTTGGTTCGCGGGCTCGCGGATTATTCGTACGGAGAGGTCAGACAAGATCCTTTGAGAGCCAGTCGAGGTTTAGTGGTATGGTCACTGCGCATGCCCGTTTGACATTACCTGTTCGATATCCTAATGGTGCTGTTCCAGGGAGCATGAGGGTTAGATTTTGAGATTTGTTAGTGAAAAACAAGCGCTACGTTTGGTGTCATTCTGATCCTCCTGGAGGAATCCCGGAATCCCGTTCACGCGTTCGTTAGCTTCTAGAAATTCTCAACTTGCGCGACTCTGAATGAGCGATCATCGAACTAACGTTGGAGTATACAACTGTTTCAACCTGGATCAGGGAAAAAACAAGAGAACACATACCGGCGAATGTGAATGTCGTGTTGTGGTTCGGATCGGATGGACAGCGACCTTCGCCGGTTTTTTCCTCGAGGAGACGAAAATCGCCTGCCGAGTCCCATCGATATTCCCTACATTGTGGTTTGAAGGCATTCGTACCGCAAATCAAGGCTGTTTCGTGGGTCTTGAGAGCAATGACTCGGATGTAGTTGTTGCACGCAACGGCGGTTCTCCCTTTTCGAGTGCACTGGCTCATATCGGTTTCCGTGGAGCTCCACAGCAGCTTCGAGCGCTCTCGGAGCGTCGACGTCGAAACGTTGTACACGGCATTCCTTTGGAGCAACACAGAAAACGTGAGCCTTGACCGCTATCTCTAGAATCGTCAGATTCCAATCGCCCACCAATAGAGAGCCTCGAAAGGTTTCTGGAAAGGATTGAGGAAGGACGAGTTATACTCGATTACGTACTTAGCTCCGATCAGAAGATGGTCTCCGCTGTGGTCGAGTATCCGAAAGCTGTCGTCGGGCGAATCGCTCCGGAAGATTTGAATGCGTTCAGAAGCTGGAATGGAGAAACGAACACTATTTAATAATAACTCTCGTACGAAAATACGTCACAGACATCGACGTCATCATGATCTCCGCGGAGGCTACTTGCACGCGTGGAATGTTCGGAGGCCATCTCCCCGAGGGGGTGCTGCTAAAGTGACGCACTCAGGGAAAAAGGCGGCTTCTTTTGTGTCAGCCATGAAGTTGAATGTTTATGTATGGAAGCCCCGTCGAATAGAAGCCTTGTTCTCAGGCAACATTCATTCAGAAGAGCGGCATCGGCGGCAGCAGCGGAAAGAAGCCCTCCTGCTGGTGTACCGCTCGTTCTCCTGACTGACTGGTCGCTCGGATAGACCCGCTCCTTCTCGCACTGCCCGAATACACGCTGCCGGCCTGACCGCTCATACGGGCGAACGGTCGAACGAAGGGATGGACCTGCACCGCTCGCAGGTTTCAGTTTACATAAAACCTTCATCGCAGGCTTCACAACATGAGCACCTCGCGATTTTCCCTCGAGTGTTACTCAACGATGCCTTCGGCTAGCGATGCAACCGACCGGGGTTTCGACACGAATTTTCGTGTCGAAACTCCGCATCCGGAGTCGCCGACGCCTACATACATAACTATGAGACGCCTCGACAGCGAGAGTTTTAGAGTTTCTCATGATTTATGTCCGGAGTCTGCGGGAGATATTTTTAGAAGCTCGACAAGATGCGTTCAGACCACGTCTGCAGCCATCTGTCTGCGGATTGAACATCGGTGCATGGAGAGTGAATGGGTATCCATTCATTCACTAATTCATTCGTTCGTTCGCGGACGATCCTATGTAGTGGTCGTCGACGCGGCGATTAGGAGCCGGACTTAAATTCCAGTGAGTATATCGCTTTGAGTCGATTAAACTTTTTCGCACAACTGCGTTTAGGAGGCAAACCGGCAACCCCCTGCCCCCTCCCTTCTTTCCTAAACCCCCATGCGCACAGCTTTCTGTACTGATTTCGAACGCACGATAGATCGTCGCCCGAGCCGAAGTTTGTGCTCCGCCGTATTATGTTTAAGCTCGGTTAGTTCTCCATGGCGATTGTCTGCCGCGAGGAAAGTCCGAGCGAACGACCGCACCAACGACTACTTGGTTGGCTTTCGCCGAGGCCGCTTGCCCTAGGCTTTCGGTCCCGAAATACCCCTGAACGCGGTCGGACCGGTTGTTTCAGAACATATACTGTGCTGTGTCGTCATTAACAAATTCACGGTTCACTGGACACCCTAGTGAATGAACGTTTCTTTCTCTAGTTCAATCCGAGCCCTACCCCACGAATAGGGAGCGTTTGTCTCAGTGCGCGAAGTCGAGCGCACACACTCTCGGCAACTCGAGCTGTCGGTGGGTCGAGAAGAAGTTGCCCGTCCGGAGCCGTTTGAGACTTTCTGTGAGTTTCTCTTGATTACACTTAGCTGGTTAGGCATCGGGATGCCGGGTCAAACAAACCGAGCTTGTCGGCAACGAAGCCAGCTACCTCTGTGTACTCACCGGACCGACCACGCTTCTTCGGGCACTACTAAAAAGCCAACGCAGTTCCTCCTTCTACGCTCTCGTCTCCGGGGAGTCTATCGAGTCACCAACGACCGCCAAGACGGGACGAGATCGCTCAGGTCAACTCTCCGGATTCAAGCCGAGAGTGCTAAGTTCGCCGCGAGCCAATTTCCCTACACAATTGAGGAGACCGCTGTCACCGCTGCTACTGCTCGGGACATCTGCGACTCTCCTTTACCCCCACGATGGACGTTCCTTCAGGTCCTCAAGTCCGATTGCGCACTGATTCGTTTGCCAGCGAAGTGCGCCCATGATTCTCACTGACCTTCGAGTCTCTGATCCGTACATGGGAGCCTCTTCGATAGCATACTGTCATGAGTTATTTCATTTATAATTCTCGTTCCGATGAGATCTAGCATGTTCTTCCAGTTCCGGGGTCAATGGTAGTATCGGGCTAGGGACAAAACTCGGTTCGATCAGCCCTCGCGGGCGAGAGAATTTCGCAGCATACGAGCTCATTGATACGGAACGGGCCACGCGGATGGTTGCCAGGGCGCTCGACACTATCGTTCCGATGCGAACGCTCGAGCAAGAGATATTTTCTGCACCTGACGAGCGAACGAAGGAGCCGATCAGAGTGTCGGAGGCTCGGCGATAAGCACCGGCGCCGTTAGAAAGCAATAGCGGCAGCAGCTGACCAGTCACGACGATTCCATCATCGACGTCTATTGGTATTACTCCTCAGTGTCTGCCCCGTCAATTGCATCATTGGCGATTACGACCTGCAGTGAGGTGAATAAACCGATTGGTGGCGCGGCCCGGTAAGCGTCCAGAGATCCTCCGTCCTTGAGAACACTCATCGAAGACCGGCATCGACTTGAATCTTATTGACCGAGAAATGGCGAGAAATTATGGCACCGGACTGCGAGTCGCGAACTCCTAGGAGGCATGGAGAATGAGTCTCGGAGTCATGGGCGGAAGTTGACGGCACAGTTTCTCATACGGCATGTCGCCAAAGTCAGTTCACAGAATCGAAAAAGAACCGCCAAGAGAACATTATATCTAGGGACTTCATTCATTCCTATAGCTCAGATCACTTTGTCGCGTGCTGACGCCTGTCGCACTAGCGGATCTGTCGCAGAATTGAAGACGATTGTATTCCACGGGGACTGGCTGCTCACGGCGGCGGCGGCGGCAGGAGAACTCCGATGGCGCGTGTTTGTCGTTGACGAGTGGGCAATCACTCCCTAATCAAAGTTACCTTCTCGGAACGAGTCAGCGATTCCCTTTTTGTCCCTCTGCCAATCCTTTTATCCCGGAGTCAGCGATTGAAGTCTCTTTGCGGGAGTCTGCCGGGGCCTTGTAGCTTCGCAAATGAAATGTGAATAATTCGTCGCTACGCTCATCTAATGCCCAGTCGCTCCGTTGACCAAACTTCGGACTTGAATCTGTGACCGGGATTGAAAAGCCGCAAGGAAGGCGAGCAATCTGGGGGGTCCACCGGTCGGTCGACTTAGTGACTAGCAGAGGGTCAGAGGTCTCTGCTTTGGATCTGTTCAAATGACCAGAGCGGTTTGTGAAGTCGATCCGAACGGTTCAGAGCTTCATTTGAATTTCCTCTTTCTCCCTTTGGTTGACGTTGCTCAATCGCATCATTCTCGTCATTAGATTGATGTCGTCCACTGAAAGTTTCCTCAAATTCCGCGCGGCGAAAAACACGCACACAACAGATGGCGGTGAACGGCGGTCTTCTGAGGCAACGCACGGCAAGTGAGGGGAACGGTGGAGAAAAGAGAGTTGCTCCACTAAAAACTCAGTTACCATGCGGTTGAATGCCACGGCCCGCCTTTTCTCAACGAGGTATCGGCAGAAGATCGATGCGTAAGCTACGCGTATGTGTGTTTGTGATAGAGAGGGGGGGGGCACGGGAAGAAAAGGCCCCAGGCGGGTGGGGAACTGAAACACCAGCGGTTGTTGTTTCTCGCAGTTCTTCCGCTTGCTAGTAAATCTTCCAAACGAAGTTTTCTGCGAGACTATCGATATCACATTAGGCTTTCGAAGCAAGGATCCTATCCAAATAACAACAATTCGTGCCGCCACGAACGTCGTCGTCGTCGCCACCACCGCCTCGGAACGATAGAGAGCAACGAACAGCAAATCGAGCGAGTGCGAGAAAAGATTGAGGGAGCTGGTTGCGTGTCGTACGCGCGGCTCGGGTTAAAACTATATTATGGAACATCTCGTTCGTTCGTTCGTTCGTTGCTCGGTCGTCCGCCCCACCGTGGGTCCGTCGGTCGAGCTCGGAGTTTTTCTTAGCTGCAAGAAATTGCAATCGATTTCACATCAGAACTTTCTCCTTCCACCTCGTCCATGCAGCGGATCCTTCAAAAAGTTCGCTTAGGCAAGCGATGCCAACAATAGCGCGAGCAGCGGCACGACCGAGACCTCGAGCGTTCGAGTGGCTCCGAGTCCGGAGGACTGCGGACGAATGTTGCTCAAGAGTAAGAGAAAGCGTCGTATGGTATTCCGGACCTCTTCGTCACAGACAACCGACGACAGGGAAAATCCCTAGCCGCGATCTCGTCAAGCGGTGAGCTTCAACCTACGCAATGCTCCTAGTTCCCAGATCGACTTCTCCGACTTGAAAAAGTGCAAAAATGATACGAGATCTCATTCCGGAAATGAAGCAATCATGAAGCATGGTGTTCCAATCCGTCTAGCGAGTCATTCCGTAGAGCCCCAGGAGGAAAGCTAGGCCGACAATAAAAACAGCAGCAGCAGTCCAATCGCAAAAGGCATGACTTCAAATGCAAACTTCGATGTCTGCCTTCAAGCGTGCGTGCTTGTGGAGTTTTCAGCTGAAGCACGCAAGTCGACCGAATCCACGGAGGCCCGCTGTCACAATAGGAGTTTGTGATCGACAGGCGGCCTGGCAGGCAACAAGACAGGCGAACGGGGAATAGGTACTCTCCTCCCAAAGAGAGGAGAACTTTCAGAGACCCAGGACGGAGACGGCCGCGGTAGCACTGGGAACGAGACCGGGCTTGGACAAAGGAAGGAGGGCGAGAGCGCAGAGGGGCTGGCGGGCAAGACGGGAGAAGCATGACGACGACGACGACGAAGACGACGGCGATGAAACAGAGGGGGTGCATACGTTTACGTCGCAATGAACCCGGACGGAAGTTCAATCGGTCTACACGGAGTGGGGGCCGCTTCAAATCTTGAGCTCGTTCGCTTCTCAGCGAGATTCGATGTGAGGCTGCCGGTCTGTTTGGCCGCCTGTCGGGCGGACCGACGATGCTCGTCAAACGGGCAGACTTCATGACGAGACTTCTCGGGTGAAGGCGCGTACGCCTCCGTATCCGTTCGATGCGACCCCTTCCACGCTCGACTCGACAATTCGACGCCGATATTCAAATTCGGACCGTGAACTCGATTCCCCGTCGAGTGAGTCCATTTCCGTCATGTCCCCCCGAACGAATATTCTAAGTTCAGCTGTGAACTTCCGAAGGACACTATCCGAGTCGCCAGTCTGAATAACAACAGCAACAACAACAACCGTGACACCAATATCGAATGCGAAACTCATATCAACGGCATAATACTCCGGCCAAACTTGAGCCAAGGGTCCGTCCAGCTTCACGATTTCCACTCGACGTCCTGTGTGCCGACCCC